GTAGATATTCTTAAAGTTTAAATTTTTATAAAGTGTGTGTGTGTGTTTGTGTACACATATGTGTGTGTTTGCATGTACACATAAGAGGGGAGGGAGGCCTGCATGCCATCGTGAACATGTCAGGGTCAGAGGACAACTGTGGAGTTAGCTCTCCCTCCCTCCCTTCCTCACATGGGTATTGAGTTACAAAATCAGGTTATCAGGCTTGCATGGCGAGTACTCACTGCGTCTTGTAACCCTGAGTAAATAGTACTCTAACTCTCTTTATTTCCATACATGAAGTGTGCTTGTGTACATACAGTATACAATATAAAATAAAATAGTCTCAGAATTTTCTTTTTGATTATTTCAATTTTTTAATTACTTGAAGTCAATGTAAATATTTCTTTCTTGGATATAAAATAATCATAATTCCTTTTGCATACATTTTAAGTTCCAAGGAAAAGCAGCTCTTTTGTTATATAATTTATATTCCCTTAAAACATCTTCTATATAATTTTCTTACAGAAAAGAATAATTATCTCTCTTTAATTATATATGTCATTTTTTGGATAACAATAAAAATGAACTAGCTTATAAAAAGGGTTTTGGTGTTATTAAGCATTATAATAAACCTACATTTAGAAATTCCTACTTCATTTTTCTCAAACAAAGAACTTTTACTCTTTTCTTGCCATCGAAAAATTATCTTAAGCTGTGTACTATTTGACTGAAAGGAAAAGCTAACATTTTCCAAGCTTATCTTTTTCTTATCTTCTCCATTTTCATCTTTATTCATTTAAGTAATAATTTTATCCTGTATTAGAGAGTCACTCACTTCATTAAAAATACATTTGGGGGGGGGCTCAGGAAATGGAGCACTGTTCCAAAGAACCCAGGTTCAATTTCCAGCACCCACAGGGACACTCACATCCATTTCTAGCTCCAGTTCCAGGGGACTGGAACCCTCTTCTGGCGCACATAGCACTAAGCAAAAGTAGTGCACATACATGCACATACATGCAGACAAAATACATACAGAATAAACTTTTTTAATTTAAGAAAAAATAATGAAAAAAAATTTATTGTCCACTATATTCTATATACAAGTGTTAAGTTCCTAGTGTTAAGTATTTAACAGTGGCCAGTCAAAAATCAGTGTCACTATGGAATATACAACTAGGGAGACAACGTAATTGTAGCTTGTTAAAGGTGATTTTTCTAGAAGAAACAGAATAGGGGGAGGGCATATAGAATGTAGGCGTGTTGAGACTTGTGACTCGGTGATGCAGACAGCTACAGTGAAAAGTCTTTGAAGGAGTAAGATATGCCTGTCAGGTAATGGGGAAACCCAGGGCCAGTCCAACAGTTCTGGGGAGCCAGGGCCTGTCTCGAGAGTTACACAGTGGGAAATGCCAAAGACATGAAGGAAAGGATCATATAATAAATGCTTGGCCTATGTAATCATCTTTCTTTCCTACCTAATTTCCTGGAGAATAATCCTGCCTTTCTTGCGCTGTCCAGATAACATGCTCTTTTTGTGAATTTAATGAGTAATTTAGACAGTCCAGCTACCTTTAGAACAACCACATGTATCATTTAACCAGAGTTTGTTGTTTCAGGAAAGTGCTCACTCCCCTTTTCAATGCCACTTAATTTCATGATTTGACCTCTGCTCAGCCCCTGACTGCTGTCCTGATAGTGACTAATGGTTCAGTTGCCACTGCTACTTTGCTAATACTCTTCTGCCATTTCTCAGTTTCCCTGCAGATGCCCACTGGTAAATCGCCACTGTCAAACCATTAACTTCCATCAGCATATCTTCACAAATAAAACCAATTAAAAACAAAAGTAAACGACCTTGAGTTTATTAATTCCTTGTGTATTCTTCTAGAGTGTATTTACTGTGGCTCTTTGTTCAGCCAAAGTAAATTATTTGCCTTCTTTGAAATGACCAAGAATCTAAACAAATAAATTAAACATTGTTGGGAGATGGCAGAGAACATTCATTCAAGTTGATTCTAACAAATTGAGTTAGAATTCACTGGATATGTGAAAGAACATTTGAAACCAGAAGTCTCATTTCTTAGCCTCTCCCTTTAAACAGTTGTATACTTTCTGAACTTCAGTTTCCTCTTATGCAAATGGGGATTAAACGGCTACTAAAGAGTCTCACTATCATATTGTTTTGAGAATATAATAGAATATCTGAGAATGTGCTTTAAAAAAAATAGTGCCGCTGAGTGTTCCTTATTCTTCTAGAATTATGTGTAGCTTTTAAATTTTTTATAAAATTAAATATTACTTAAGTTTTTTATGCCTGGGTAGCTGCCAAAATTTTTGATTTGCCTTTTGGACTGGAGGTGCCTGTAATGTTTCTTTTTGAAGTGGCTTCTACAATGTAAATGAACAAGTCTTGGATGCTACCCAACAGTGCCATGGTGATTTTACTGTGTGTTGCCACGACCTCTGGCATGTACCTCAATGGAAATTGATTTGCCCTTACTTTTGATTATAGCTGTTAGCAGCTGGGAATAGGCTTGGTTGGCACGTTTACAGCGGGAGCAGCAGGGTGCTAGGGCCTCACATCCTTCAGCCTACCAGAGAGTGAGAAACTTGGTGTGGAGCGCCTGTGGCCACAGGTGTGTGAAGCACCAGTTTAGGGGACATAGTTGTATTGGCTCATGATCATGGCTGCAGGACAATAGGAGCTTTGAGGAGATGGGAAAAAGTGTTCCCTGTGTGTGGCTAGATGTGGGACTCAGGGCACCTGTGAAAATTCCATTTTCAAAATATGAAGGAATCAGAGCATTGATTTCCAAACTCAGCTGCATGTTAGTCACTTGGGAGCTCCAGACTTGTAATGACCTTCCTACCCCATACTACCTGTGAATCAGCTTGCTTGGTGAGAAAGCAGGCACCTGTGGTGCTCAGAGATGCCCAGGTGTCCTTGATGCTGCAAAGCTAGGGCCTCCTTAGGGATTTGCAGCAGTGGCCTCTGTTCTTTTACTGTATACACTGTCTCAGACTTTACAATTTGATTAGTCTACCTCTGAAAACATTTTGAAAGTCATTTTTCTCAAACATTTGTGTGCTAAATTTTCTTAAGGGTATATACTGTTTGGTTTTGATTTTAGGTGTTTTTTGTGGTTGTGGGGTTTAAATTTCACCACTGGTCCAGTTTTTTTTACATATTTATATTATTTTTACCATTTATTACAGATATTTGTCTGGATTTAAAGCACAAAATAAAGTCATATTCATTAGCTATGAGTTTTGTTCATTTTTTTTGAATTATAAGGACTGATCAAAAAACATGGGCTCAGTATGAACTTGAAGAAATACCTTATGCACATTAATGTTTACTGATAGATAAGATATTGAGTGTGTGAGACCACAATTAGAGCTGTGGGATTACTAACCACAGTGCCATGATTGAATAAGCATTTCCCTAAATATTATAGTTAAGTCAGGCTTAATGTAGTTAACAATAAATAAGAGGTGATGTGTACAAAAGGGATTTTCTGAGTGCTTTGGTTACCATTGTTGGCAAGAGCCGGAGTTTTTGCCTATAATCTGGAGCATCTACCTAAAGTTTGCATGTGTTTGGTTGGTCACAGTGTTTTTTAAAGAAATTATATTTTTGTTTATTAAAGATGTGTTTCATATTCCATGTGAATTGTGTGTGGAAAATGCAGAACATGAGCTGATGTTCCGCAGACTTTTAAAGAGCCAGAGCCCTTGTCCCCTGTACTATTGCAGGATTGTAAGTCATGGAACCACAGTGTCAGTGTTTGCCTTAAGTCACAACATTCAGTCATCCAGTTTTGTGAGTTTTGTTTTGTTTTGCATTTTCTTTTGTGTTGTCTTCAGCCATCATTTTGTCTTATCATCTTCAATTCTAGAGCAACCTGACAGCAGTAACGATGCTACTGAAGTGGGCATCCTTGTCATTCCTGAGATTAGTGTCACAAATGTGTCCGGAGAGAGAACCGGGAATGGGGAGAAAGGCAGAACACTAGGAGACATTGATGCCCAGCATATGCAGGGCATGCAGGAAACAGCCACAGACCCTAGAAGTGAGAGCAAAGGCTTGCCTGAGCTCAGGAGGCAGAAATCTGTAAGAAAAATGATGGAGGATGGAATGGCCACTGCTGGCAGAGTGCAGTTTTAGCAGAGCACTTTATAGCTGCACCCCAAGGTATCTTGAGGCAAGGGCACTGGTGCATGCCAAGCAACAGTTGCACAGTCACAGACGATTTGCATGCCATCTAATAAAGTGCATGAATTGTGCATTGTAATTTCTCAATGACTTTTAATGCTCTTTAGAATGATAACCCCTATGTGGTCTTTGAGGAATTTGTAAGAGAAACTGAGGCAGAAATTTGCTTCTGATATAATTTTCTGCTTAAGTTTTGGAACCAAAATGATTTTTGCCATCTTTTATATGAAGAGTAATGTGTATAGAATTTTAACAAGTTTTTAACTTGTGGTATTTACAGTGTGTGTGTGTGTATATATGTATGTATGTATGTATATATACATACATACATATATATATATGTTTTTAATTCTTTGAATATTTGGAATGGAGAATACAACCTTCTTTTTTAAAAAAAGAAAAAGAAAGACCTCTTTAAATGTTCTCCTGTTTTAACTTAAGTTCCTTGGTAGGAGCTATGATAGAGAGGTCGCCCCAGTTTATAACACCTAATGGTTTTTCTAATTGCTTCTGCTCTTTGCATGCATAATAGGAGAACTCTGTCTAAAAATGTAGTGGGGGATAGTTTACAGCATGCTTTTGGATTAATAATACTCTAAATCACTGTCATTTGATTGCAATGAACTGGTTTTCTTTGATATTTACAAAATGTTCCAATTTATCCTTTGATTTTGTTCTATAATCTATTGCTTTAAGGAATTCTGCTAAGGTACTGATTTAAATGTAATTGATTTGGTATTCTTTTAAAAGTTGCTTAAAATACTTAATGTTAATTAATCTTTGTCATCTCTCTGTTTAGGAGATACAGAATTAACAGGTCAAGAAGAGCTGATGGAGATAACTGAAGCTGACGAGGGATTTTATTCCAGGGCTGCGTCTAGCACCAGCCAGTCGGGTCTATCAAACAGTAGTCACAATTGTAGTAACAAGACAAGTGTAGGGAAGAACCAGAGACGGTCGGGAGGAAGCAAAGCTGGAGCAAAAGAGAGAGAAACTGCAGGGGAATCTTGCAGAGATCACTTTGCTCGCAAACAAACCCAGAGAGCCCAGAGTGAGAACCTTGAGCTTCTCTCTCTGAAGAGACTGACCTTGACCTCCAGCCAGTCCCTGCCCAAGCCCAGCAGCCAAGGCTTGGCTAAGACTGCGGCCACTGTGTTTAGTAAATCCTTTGAACAGGTCAGTGGTGTCCCAGTCCCACGCAGCCCCTCTCCTGCTGTTGGCTGTGTTGCTGGTGCAGATGCCCATAGATTTTCTGCTTGTAGTCTCCAAGAAGAAAAGCTCACTTATGTGTCAGAAAGGACTGAGCTTGCAATGAAGTATCAAGCAGGTCCACAGGGACCTCCCAGTATTAGCATCACTTTGTCTGCAGATTAACTTGTAACTTATTTTTGTCCTGTAAGCAGTGAAGCTGGAAAGATGGCTTTGCTCCTTTATGAAAGTACTGAGTCCTCATGCCTGGTCCTAGCAGGAAGCCTGTGTCTCGAGTTCTGATGGCTCCTTGGACTATGAAGGGAACAATGTCTAGTTTGCAGTAAGCTGAGGCATGGTCTTGTTATCTCTTGGGTACCCTTTTCCTCTTGGTTTGAGTTCTGTATTCTTTTCCTCCTCTTTTCTGTTGGTTGTTATTGTTGTTCTGAGATGGTCAGTGTGACAATAAATCTTACAGTTGTGGAGTTGGTTACTTCCTCAGTGAGGTGGTTTTTAACACCTCGTATTTTAGTATCTGTGTGTTTGCCCTGAGAAGTCAGAGTCTCTGTGTGAGAGGACTCGGCTGTGGATCCTGGACAGAGGAGCGAGTCCATGAAGCCACGATGACAAACAGGCATGTGAGAAAGCAAAAAAAGCAATGAGAGCATTGAGGATGTCAAGTGCCAGGAAAAGCTCAGTGACCACATCACCCTTCAGATGAGGACGGTTTGCTCACACACTGCAAGTTGCCTGGCAGGACAGGCAAAGGGAAGGTGGAAGGACTCCTGTTGGTGTCCTTAGAACATTAAACAGCAAAACTGAGATGGCTGGTAGATAATGTTTTGAGTGTTTGGTGTGGATTCCACAGGTGAAAGTCCCTTTGGGTCTCTAAAGTGTAACCAGCCATGAAGCTGATTGACTGTGCTGCTCGACTTAGTCTGTATTTTAGAGTTCAGAGCTCGTCACAGAAGACTTCCTGGAAACCACTGTAAATCTTGCAACACAGCTCCCACGATACCAGTGTCAAGCATTTAATAGTGAATCGTCTGCAAATGAAGGAAATACATTTCATCTACAAAAATGTGATAAAAAGAAAATGAAGATAGTGAATATGGACAAAGGACATTTGTGCGCTATCTTAGGATTGCTTGTGTTTGTCTTCTAAAGTTTAACATAAGAAAAGAAAAATGTACTTCTTGCTTGTGAGCTTCCAGTGTCCCTGTAATGATAGAGAAAGTATACTTCAGTTGCACACCCACCCCTGCCAGTCTATACCTAAACCAAGGAAGGTAATCAGGCAGAGGCTAAACAAATGTATCTGGCGCTCTTGAGAGCTCTGCGACTCTGGACGGACTGAAAGGCTCGGTGCCTGTGCTGTCAATGAAGCCGGTGAGCTTGGAGTGAGAGGAAGCAAGGTCAGCCGGGGAGACCTAGGAAGCATCACTTGTTGGTTCCATTGAGTCTTAGTACACCAAGGTCTCCTTATTTCTAGTCCCTAGCTGTGGTCACAGAATGTGCTTATGTTTCCCTTTTAAAACTGCACAAGTTGTAGAATGCAGCACATTTACAATTGAGATACAGTTTTAAATGCTTACCTGTCAGTTTCAGCCTAATTATTCAACATCTGAGGGTGTTTTTTTTTTTAGCATAAATAAGTTTAACATTTTAGTTTCAGTAACAGAATGAACTGTTGGCTTAAATTGTTCTCAAAAGTTATAAGTTAACTAGACAGTAAAATTGATATTGGAATGATTTAATAGTAATCTTATATACAGTTGAAAATGTTTGTAAAATGTCACTGTGAATTTCCTGTTGTCTTGTAATTCTTTAATGAAAAAATTTTCTTACGTATAGTTTCTAACAGTATTGATAATATTAAGAAGAAATTGAAGATTGTCATTAGGCAAGTTGAAGTGTTTGTTTAAGCATATAATAAGTGTAAAGAAACATTATCTGGCATAAATGAGAGATTAGGATAATGTTCAGCTACTATAATGAAAATTCATTTTAATATTGTTCAAGACATTTGCTACTCATGTGGTTCAAAGGTCATTGGTGTTACCTGGTATCTTAATAAGACTTCACAATTTTAGGGGCAGATTAGTAAATCAAAACTGGCATTTTTACAGGGTCCCAAAGGACGCTTGTGTGCATTCGTCTTTGTGAAGACAGTTTCAGAGTGCTTTGGGTTTTGTTTTGTTTTGTTTTTGTTTTTGGAGACAGGGTTTCTCTGTATTGCTTTGGAGCCTGTCCTGGAACTAGCTCTGTAGACCAGTCTGGCCTCGAACTCACAGAGATCTGCCTGCCTCTGCCTCCCGAGTGCTGGGAAACTGAGCCAGGCAATGTATGCCACCAACGCCCGACTCAGTTTTGGAATGCTAATCATTATCTAATATGCAGAAGTATCAGTGGTCTCACAGCCCTCAAGCACAGATATTAGACACTAGGTTGTCATAATCGTCACTGTTTTTAACAGCTAATTAACTTTCTAATAACATGACTTGTTACACCTCATTTTAAGTTCCTAGTCCTCTTATTTCTGTAATAAAAATGTAGTCTCTTCTGCTTCTCTTGTTGACTATGAATGAAAGCAGAGCCTCGGATGCTGCAGGTTTTAAGTGGGAAAGGCCTTGCCGGTTTTTCTTGGTCAGTTCCATTATGCACAGCATATTTGCATGTGTTCATTCTCTTTTACAAAATCTGTAACAGCTTACACCATGGAGTGAATCTGAATTTTTTCTCCAAATGATTTATGCCGATTTATTCTCTGGAGGGTGGGATTATGTTAACAATAAATTCTTTTATACTACTTTTGATACAATTTCAAGTAAGGATTGTATACATTGGAGGCTTTTTATTATAGTCATCAAAGTCAGATGATATTAACTATGGCAACAATTGTTATACTCATGACTCTTTCCCTACTCATCTTTCAAATGTGAAAAATTGAGTGGCTTTGTGGGTCACTTTGCTATAAAGGTGTTAAGTGCAGACATTTTGTGGATCCAAAGTAATGGCTTCCATTCCAAGAGGATTCCACACAAAGCTGGGGCCCAGCACCCCATAGTTCAGATCTAGGATAGGTTCTTGCATTAACCTGACCCTTGCATTCTTAAAGCTGTGCTGCCTGGACACTCCTGTGAAGCTGTGCCCAGCACTAGCCTCTGAGACCCATGTCAAGAGAGAAGAAGAGTAGACTTTCCCACTCGGGTGCCTCCCTTCCTCTCTCTCTTGGGAGCCTCCGAAGAGCACCCTGGCATCACTGGGACATTGCCTGAACTGTCCATCTCTGTAGCACAAAGAGCAGGGTTCCCCAACAGCAACATTTCATTGTCCTTTCAATTATAAAGCAACCACTCTGCAAATAATACTTAGGTGTTAAAAGTTGAGTTAAAGGGAGATCATATATATGTGTGTGTGTGTGTGTATGTATATGCATATGCAAAAGATCCCAATTTAAAGGGTCATAACTAAAATGTTGAATGGTAAATTATGGAAGAAAGTGTTTACTCTGAAACCTGATTTTTAAGCAAAGAGTTGAAGTAAGGCAGCTTAATGATTAGGTCTGTAGGCACATTAAGTGTCCATACAGGAAAAGCACATTAAGGAAGCATATATTAAGTATTGTAACAGAAAAATAGTTTAAAAACACAATGTTAGGCACTAAGGCATTGTAGATAGAATTAGCGTGCGGTGTTGTCTTCCCAGTTAGTCCTTTAGTGAGCACACGGTCCCACTTGCAGGTTTGCTGCAGAGTGCTGACCCAGCGGGCACTGAGGTGTGTGCCTGACCCTGCTCAAGGCTCTCCAGACTGCACGGTGTGCTCGCTCCCACACACTGTCACTGTGCACTGAACACTCTGAAGAGGCTTCTGTGTTTCACAGTAGCGTGCTAGTGGACACGGGTCTCAAGGGTGGTTTCTTCTCCTCTCCCCATACTATCTCTTGTTGGAGCTGGCTGCACCTCTGACCTTCCCTTCTGATCACGTGGTAATGCTAAACTCTTCTCTCAGATACACTTGTTTGTCATTGTATTCCCAGAGTTTACATTCCTAAGAATAAACACAACTTTGGATATTTTTATGTGCTCTCTATGTTTTTAAGGTATTAAATAAACTGGAGTTGAGTTTTTTGAAGTTTCGTACATTTGTATAAACATTCTCCATATGCAGTACTTTATACATGTGTTTACTCTTGTTTTGTTGAAATAAAAACTAAAAAATGATTTTCCAGATCATTTTTTTTTCTTTAGAAACTGCTATAAGAGCTTGGGTGGGCTGAGCCACTGGGAGCTGCTGGGGTTAGCTGGCCGGCTCACTCCTGGCTTCACGCCTCAGGATGAGGGACTGGGGGGCCTCAGTGTCTATCCGTAGATGAGCTCGGGGGGACCTTGAGGCAGTGGCTGATTAGGATTGCCTTTAACTTTAATGAGTCTTATCTCTTAGTGAAGAGGGTTGCCTCTAGACCTGAGCACAGGCCTTCAGGTGTGATGAGCGTTTGGTTGCTGCTAGCTTCCGGATGGTAGGGCACATCACAGTATTTTCATTTCTTGGCTGCAGGAGATCACAGTGGCATTCCTGATCTGCATTGTGAATACTGAAACAAATCCCATTAAAAAGGAACAATTCTGATGGGCAGGGGAGGGGATTGATTGCATATGTGAATCATCCCAGCTGACCTAAGGAAATAGGTCAGGAGATACTTCCTTAGCTACTCTTAGGAGATGGCCTGTGGAACCAGCACATGACAGTTTAAAGACTTGTAACAGTACCTTGTGAAATGTGCATTCTTCCAGTGACTACAGAGTCCCTGACATGTCCCTGGCTCCCCTAGTAGAGTCAGACTTTGTTAATATCTGCATACCTATCTTATAATCATTAATAAGGACTATAAATAGCTAGTCATTCCATAATATCTCTTGGATTATTATTGGGGTTGTAATAGCCGATTCGTCACTTCAATACTCCAAGCAATCTTGAAAAGTGAGCAGCACCCCATTTTACAAAAGAGGAAACTGAAGTATTGAGGGAGCAGGTGCCTTGCCCAAGGTCACCAAGTGCTGGGTGGCCACGCCCAACCTTGAACACAAGCTGGCCTTACAGCTTTGTTATTGCTTAACAAAAGGATCCTAAATCCTGTCAAAATGGACATGTATTTAAAAAATTTATTTACTCCATCTTAAAAGTAAAATGAAATTTTCATGAAACTAAATGATCCTATCATTTGTAGAATATGACATAATTGTTTCATTGGTAATCAGAATGTTTGTTATTGCTATATTAAAAATAGGCTAATTCAAATTAAATGCTTCCTTAGCTTTTCAGATTGATAAGATTGGAACTGGTATTTGTATTTATCAGGAGAAATCTTTAGTTCCTGAGACAATTGGGAATGTAAATTGCTACAAATTAATTAGTGAGCAATTCATCAGAATCTTTACCCCATACCCTTTGACCTAGCATTCCTACCCTATATCTGTTCTACTCTGTTTTGCATTAAATTGGACACAAATGTATAAATGCAAGGTATTCATTGCAGCGTTGTTTGTAATAGGAAAAAAAGCCAGGACTTTAAATGTCTCATTTAGTGGACATTTAGTGAAATATTATATAGCCATTAGAAATGTGGGTCCCATTTCATTATATTTATGTTGAATAGTTAATGTGTATATGTTTTATGTACATTATATATAATACACATATACACATACACATATATGAAAGAACATTATTTACCAAAATGTGACTTAAAGACAGGCTTGGGGCTCAAGAAATGATCATTTCCCAGCACCAACATTTGGTAGCTCAACCAACTCCAGTTCCAAGGGATCCAGTGCCCCCTTCTAGTCTCTGTGGACACCCAAATACATATGGCACATACTAATACAGATGACCACACACACACACACACACACACACACACACACACACACACACACACAGGTTCTTAACAACAACCTACATTGTGAAAACTGGATACTCTAAAAATGGAGATTCTTGGGGATTGTGCTAGTTTCCAAGAATCATAATCACTCTGGGTGAAACTTGAAAACCTGTATTTCTAGTAAATTCCTCAACTTAACACAAAAGTTTGGCCCAGTAACTACCAACAGTGGATTAGGTATTTAGTGTGGTTTGTTGTCAGAAAGACTTCTCAGACTGGAGAGATGGCTCAGCAGTTAGGAACACTAACAACACTTCCAGAGGACCCAGGTTCAGTTCCCAGCATCCACATGGCAGCTCACAGCTGTCTGTAACTCCAGTTCCCGGGGATCCAACACCCTCACACAGACAAATGTGCGCATCAAATAAAAATAAACAATAAAATATTTTAAAGAGAGAGAGAGAGAGAAAAGAAAGCCTTCTCAGAGAGATGTGGTATTTTCAGTGGGGCTTCCCTAAGAGCAGTTGTCAGTGACATTACTGACAGGGACCTGTAATGAAAGACAAACTGTCCCGACATTAAAACAAAAAGACTACTTCCTGTATGAGAGTACATACCCATGAACAGTCTCCTTTTAAAGCATCTTTGCTAGTGTTTAATTTCAGATGACTTACCAACAAAGCAAAACTAAGCAGAGCTTACTATTGAAGGGTGGCCTTGGCATCTCCAGGTGCACCTGCAGCACTGGAGTAAGGTACTAGCAGACCTTGTGCAAATGAGCATCTCTGTCATGGGGGGGGGGGGTTGGCTTTGGAGAGCCAGTATTTAGGATCTATGGTGGGAGCAGCCTTGCAGAGTCAACCACTGAGAAGCAATTGCTAGGGTTGCAGATTATTGTTTCCAGTCTGTTTAGGGCAAAGACAGAAATGGAGACACTTGGTGTGTTTACTTCATTCACTTACATTCTACTCTTTCCTGGACCTGGAACCAGTAAAACTCAGCCAGGTTGATATGGGCAGGCCATTCTAAGCCATTCTGGCACTGCGCATTGTGCCAGTTCACTGGCTTGAATTCTTGCTCTTTTACAAGGGTGGTAAGTCAGTGTGTAGGCAGAATGTATCCATGTGTCTTTTCTGCTGTCTCAGGGTTAGTAGGGTGACTACATTGTGCTGTGCTTGTGTTTTCCCTAGTGAGACTTTAGTACATACTGCACTATAGAGAGTAAAGGTGCGTATTACTAGATGGGCTCTGAGTCTAGTCCAGGAAGGCAGCAGAAACACATTGCTTCTCATGCATTCAAGGGAAGTTGGAAAACCAATTCCCATTTGTCGGCATGGAGAAGGTTGTAAAATGGGATCACTGTGATTCTTACGCATGTATCTGCATAAATGTGTTGCAAATCCTGACATCATGTTTCTTTTTCTTCAGAGCTATCGTGGAATGGAATGATTTTTCTACACTAATGTTTCGCATTAACTTTTTTTGTTGTTGTTTTCTACCATATCGTTCTGTCCCGTGTATCTGGTGCACTTGAGTGATAATAAGACAACAAAATAGGCAAGACCTGACTTCCATATTACACATTCTCCTTGCCTCAATAACTGTGTCTGTAGTGGAGTCCCATGCTGTGTAATGCCCTGGGCCATCCGAGCTCTCATCTGAACTCTCTTCCTTACTGTTTAGCCAGAACCTTTCTATGCCTGACTCTCCCGTGGTGTCATTGTTGATCATGGTTTCTTCTCTCCATTCCTTTAAAAATGAACCCCCTAGAATATAGGCCACCACTCTGCCTTCTGTTGAAATGCCACACTAATTCTGAATCCTTTAGTAATTACTTCTCTCCCTAAGCCTTTATTTACGTCAAGTTGACATTGTATAAGACCTTTGAAAGGAAAAAAACATCAAGAAAGTAAGCCATGAACTGCACCTGCAATGGGAAATAATGCACTGAGTTCACCACAGAGGAAAAACCATACAAGCAATAATGCCCACGCACTGGGACCGTTGGATGAAGCTGCGGTGTTAAATCCCTTTCAGAGGGCAGCAGGGCGGGTTGGGGAATGTGAGCTGTGCTCTTGTCTGCTCAGGGGAGCCATCCTGAGGTGCAGATCTACACCCTCTGTCCGTCCAGGTGCTTGGGGACATGGAAGAATAGAACTAGAGAACGTGTGATGGAGGTATGATTGGACTTCTTAAAATTATCCATATCTTAAGAATAATTGTTTGCCACATAAAAGCTAGGCACAGGCCCTGTTGGGAAGAAGGCCGTTAACAAGCACATCATCAAGATGAGGATGGGCGGGGTGTCCGTGGTGCTCTTTGGTATCCCTGTTCAGTCAGTGGACCACCATGAGGGAAGACTAGTGGCTACACTGGATCAAGGCTGTGCACAAATGTCAGGTTCCATCAATACCACCCTCTCAAAGAGGCAGCTGTCTGTCTTCCCCAAACACATCGATCACTCTTAGTCTGGATTTAGGTTGGCTTCTATGTGTAATACCAGATACCCTGTTTACCACCTAGGTTTTCTCCTAAGCTTCCTGAAGAGCCTCGCCTCAAAATGTCCAGAGAGAGTTGGAGTTCCATTTCTAGTAACAGCAAAGCAGACAATTATACTCATTGCTGTGACAAAACGTGGCAAAAGCAACATGAGGAAAGAAGGGGTCGTGTTGGCTCCAGTGTTGGCTCTAGTGTGAAGGCAGGGGCCCGTCCATCAACGTAGAGGAGCTGTGCATCAGGAATGAGAGCTCACATGGTGTCTGCAGCCAAGGAGCAGAAAGAGGGTGCTGGTGTTCCCTGGCTTCTCTCTCATTCAGTCTGACACCCCAGCCAAGAGAATGGGGCCACACACATGCTGGGGGGACACCCTCATTGGCTTAATCAGAGTAATTAGCACCCAACCTCCCATTAGACAATAAGAACTTAGGGAAAGGCTTTCTACACTTATTAATTTATTGCGCGTGTGCACCCGTGCACACCCATGCATGTTATGAGCTCTTGCGGAGGTCAGAGGACAGTATTCAGGAGTTGATCTTCTTCTACCATGTGAGTCCTTAAAATCAAATTCAGCTCAGACATGGCAGCAGATGCCTCCACCCACTCACATCTCACTGGCCCAACACAAACTGTCAAAACCAACTTACTTCCTGGGAATGCTGGCTTGATTCTAGAAGAAACACTTAAGACGTGAGATTACTTTCTGCTCGTCTTACTGCTTCAGGGAGCTAAAAACTGGATGGCAGTGACTGCCAAG